TATGTAATTTTTAAAGTTTACTGCTATTTCAAGCTACCTGAAAGAAAATACCTTAGTGGGAGAAAAATGTTTGATTGTTTTTCATAAGTATGACTTTGAAAACAAGCACCATTAGTGACAGTCCACCATATGCACTTTAGCAGTTAGGTAGGTCTGGTAATGAATGATATTATCTTGAAAGAAAAGAAAGAATATTTGTTGGGCAGGTGCAGGTAAAATAATTTTTGGAGACTCTTATAATATGCAACCTAGAATCCAATTCAAGAAGTTGGTTTGTTTTGAAAAGTATAACATTGAACATATTCATAAATAATTGCTTAGCTTCCCACTTTGAATATTAACCTGGGTAGCACACCAAAGACAAGAGTTGAGATAAGGTAGTAACAAAATTGTACATCTGATTGATGGAGGCATCCGTGTGTTTTTAAATAGCTCCTCGTATGCGTTTTCCTGTCCAAAAATATAAACTTGCTTGTTCTCCATGTATATACAAGTAGCCTGTGAGATCCTGGACTCTGGAAAGAAAAAAAAAGTTGAGGTATAGCACTGAATAAAGCATCCAAATGCGTCTATTTGGCTGGAATTCATCCACGTTACTGTCAGCAGAGGAGTTGATGGACGTGCGCCTCGGCAAAGTCTTCAGGTGTTTGCACCTCTGAGAAATTTGTCGTCGGCATCGAATAACTGAACCCCTCAACGGCAATATATACAAAGGCATTTTATTGTTCATCGAAGACAGGGAATTAGAGCCATCAGAAATGACAACTTTATTTTTTTCATAATACATATATTTATTGCCATCGTAGTTCTGCGATTGTCGTAAAATTCGAGCCAGGTGGAATTCAGACACACGCGCAAGTTTTGGACACGGACACAGATAACAGCATAGAACTGTACACAAAATAATTACAATTTATTCAACACACTGTTTTAGCACATCCTTCACGGATGGGAATGAGCACCATATCTTTTATGAATATATATTTTTCTCTCTCTTTTTTTTTTTTCTACAGCACCAAAGAGATCCAAATAGGAAAAGGAGAGGTGAAAATTGGGTATCAAGAATAAGGCTTGTTTCCATCTCAGCCACACTATCTTTTTTTCTTTTTTTAAATTATTTTCAAAGCTTTTGCCATGTGATTCTGCCCTCACTGATGAGGGCATCAGTACCTCCTAACTGGTACATGTACACGTGACGAGTTGTTTTCTATGCCATCCTTGCTCAAAACTCGCATGTGGCATCAAATGGGTGGGTGGCACCAAGGCATGTTTCCTGTCGATTTCACATGTTATTTGTCCTAATCTCAGCCAAGAAAACAGACGGGGCCAACTTCGAATCCAAACTTCTGATTCTGATCACCAAAGTCATTAATCATTACATCAACGATAGGGACTTGGTCGATTCTCGGTGTGTTGATTTCAATCACAGTCTTTTCGTAGCCTTTTCTGGACTGTAAAGTTAAGCAGAAATTGGACAGGTTATGCAATCATTTTATAGTCTTAACACAGATGTTTTTTTTTTTTCTTAAGCTTCTGAAGCGAGATAGGAAGATAAGAAAGGAGAGTGGAAGCACAAATTTATTATTATCGATGTCATACGCTCTTCTTGTTATCACTTACGTCATGTGTGGTTTTAAATAGTGAATGCTGACACCTCCATTTAGCCATAATTACCCAACTATAATACCCAACTATGTAACATACTGCACAGTTGAAGAGAATCTTACTGAATTGATAAATACCATTAATAGGAAAACTAATGTTGGTATTGGGTTATACGCCTACATAAATAATACATCCTTATGAGTAGAATCATAATTAAAATAGATATAGGAGTTAAATGCAGGAGGTGAAAGCACTGGTGTGTATGAATTCTGTGGACAGCGATCGGCACGTTTCTACTGGAGAACCCAAAGCACCTACTTCCTCCTCTTCGTGAGCTTTGGACACGGACACAGATAACAGCATAGAACTGTACACCAAATAATTACAATTTATTCAACACACTGTTTTAGCACATCCTTCACGGATGAGAATGAGCACCATATCTTTTATGAATATATGGGAGTCAAAGGAGGGTAGTTCCTCTCCTTTGACTGGGGGCACCTGCTCACTTGTAACTGACTTATCTCCAGGCATCAGCTAAAACGGGGCTTTTGGGGGTGCTCTGTGGGCCATTTTCTTATATAGAATTCCCAGCATGTGGAAAAGATACTTCCAGAGCAGAAAAATAAGACAAATAATAGTGGCGTCTCCACTGGTGTCATATAGTGCCAACCACCAAGCCCTCACCGACAAAATACAGGGCTGAGAAGCACCTGCCGTATAAACGCTGAGTCCTTGATCTGTCATTTTCAAACCATGGATTAAGGGGGGCAACAAAATAAGGTTTTGGTGGTGGTGTTTTTTTCATTTCAAGAATACCTAGCTGCAATATTATTCAGATATCAAGAATAACTCCATAAAAATAACCCACGACCCAAGATTACCTTCTGTTGTGGCTTTAAAAATGTGTCTACCTGCCCACCTGGCATGGCTCAGTGGTTGAGCGTTGACCTATGAACAAGAGGTCATGGCTGGATCCCAGGTGAGGGCACATGCCTGGGTTGTGGGGTCCATCCCCAGTACAGGGTGTGCAGGAGGCCGCACATCAGTGATTTTCTCACATACTGTATTTCAACATGTCAGTGATTAGCAGTGAATCTTAACAACGGCCTTGCCTATGGGACTTGGGGCCACACGGAGGGCCGTGGAGCCGAGACTCACCGCGCAGCCGTCGTGCAGCGCCCTGATGTACGGGCTGTTGTCGTGGGACATCTCCTCGTCGTTGGACCCCAGGAACCGGAGCGCTTTGCCGTACCCGCCGGTGGCCGCGTCGTACCAGGCCGCGGACTGGTGGCAGTGGTAGGTGAAGTTCTGCCGCGCGGACGCCGTCAGCAGCTTCAGGAAGGTCATCTGCACCATGTTGATGGCATTGCCTTCCACGTCCAGATAGGAAAGCTGGGGACAGAAACGCCAAAGACGCGTCAAGGCTCTGCTCCTCTTCTCCGTCCTAAAGGGACTGCATCCCTGTGGACAGTGACCCGGGGAGCCAGGGGCACGGGGTGCAGCTCAGAGCCATTTTCCTTTAAGGAAAGTGTGCGCCGAGGGTCAGGGGACCCGGAGCCAGGACCTGAAGCAGTCGGGGCTGTGTTCCCACCTGAGCTGCTGTGAGCACTGCCGATCTTTGGGGAAAAATCACTATTTCTATGCTTCAGTTTCTTCATCAGAAAAAAGAAATTTGTTTCCCAAAAGCCTTTCCTTGCATATGTGTGTTTTTAATAGTAAAACAGTGAAAATTGAGGTGTCTCAGTGCGACGTAAAGTGAACTATGTTTATGTTGTTTGATGTCGCCGACTCTTAAAAATGTCACAGGATAGCAGCTGGAAGTAAATTTTTACACGCGCTCCTGCAGTTCCCATGGCGGCCATGGTCTCCTAAGGCAGCTCCGGACTTTACTGTTCAGCTCAGACCCGCCCGCTTGTCCATTCTCAGCCGATGGACTTGCTCATCCTGTACCACCAGGCACAGTGCCGGCACAGCGCAAGGGAATGTGTTGTCAGTAAACACTTGCTTTGGAGTTAGTAAGAAAAATAGTTTTAATTGGTAAAAGAGACAGTTTTTAAGACTTTGCAAAGTTATAAATTGTGTTATGGGGTATAGTCAACAGAGCTGGGCTCAGCTGAGACATATAAACTTAGATTTTTAGAAAAAATTAAATTCACCCAGATTATATTGAAATGAAATCTTATGGAAGTGAAGAACACAAAATGAAATTGTCAGAATCAAAGATACTAAGTAGATCTATTCCATCTGATGTTTCTAACATAAACCATCTTAATGATGTCTCTCAGCTAATAAAATGTATATCTTATTATTTTAGCAAACTTAGTATATCTGCATTTCTTTTGATAGAAAATTTTAGATTTCTCTAAAGTCTACACCACAGTAGTATAAGAGCCATCGGTCCTGCTTTGTATAACCAAGACCGGCACCGTCAGTGTCAAGAGAAAGGAAATTTGAGCCTCATTTACGAAGCCCTAGAGCAGTGGTTCTCAACCTTCCTAATGCCGCGACCCTTTAATACAGTTCCTCATGCTGTGGTGACCCCCAAGCATTACATTATTTTCGTTGCTACTTCATAACTGTAATTTTGCTACTGTTATGAATCATCATGTAAATATCTGATATGCAGGATGTATTTTCATTATTACAAATTGGACATAATTAAAGCATAGTGATTAATCACAAATACAATATATAATTATATAGGTGTTTTCCAGTGGTCTTAGGCGACCCCTGTGAAAGGGTCGTTCAACCCCGAAAGGGGTCGCAAACCACAGGTTGGCGACCCACAGGATGAGAACCGCTGCTCTAGAGAAACCATTGCATGTTGAGTAACAACATACCAGTTTTCCTCTCTTAAATTCACTGAACCAGCTTCCCGGCTTCTCCTTTGGCCATGATGAAATTCTCACCTGTTGCAGAAGAGCAGGGAAATCAGTCGGTAAACACCATGAACAATAACATGTGTGTACACATCGGTAATGTTCAGTAGGAGGGAGGTGCTAAAGGCCTCCTCTGGATTGCACAGAATGACACAAAGGGCCAACTTGGAGACGGATCCTGGGAATTCCCATTTAGTGAGGACGAGTCATTTTCTTGGTTTCCTTTCATTGCCGAGAGGAAGGGGAAAGAATCTGGTAAAGGCGAGCGAAGGGCTGCAGGGAACACAGCTGGGACGCCCAGCTCGCCCCTTGCCATGGATGCCCTCCCAGCGCCGCGTGGCATCAGCCGTCTGGCGATGCCACCAGCATCCACAGCCAGGGTTGAGCCCTGAAAGTCCCCCGCCAGCAACTGAGGCGGGAAGCGAGCCTGGCCATGCCCTGCTGGGAAGAATGGCCGAGTCTCTCATGGATCTGTGTGGATCGTTTTGCTTTGCAAAGAGGAGCGGCACATGCGGCTGCCTTCTGGCAGGGAACTGGAGCCATTGGTATAAGGGGGCGCATTTCCTCTTTGCCACAGGTGGGGGCTCCAGGAGCTCTGTGATGCTTCGCCGCGTCTCCCCACGCTGCACCTCTTGCCTCAGGAGATCAGGTGCACATAAAGCCGCTTGTTTTGACTTAGGGAGTTTCTGTAACTCAGACTCACGCCATTTCCTAAGAAAAATGTGGTTTATTCAGAAACCATAAAGGCAAAATTTCCCACCTGTATTGTGTTTGGAGACTATAATTATGCCAGTGAAAAATCTTTCATTATATTAATAATTAGCCTTTTGCTTTAAAGATAGAACTCCAATGTACTGATACTGCTAGGTGAAAACCAAGAAATGAGTTTGGCCCTAGCCGGTCTGGCTCAGTGGATAGAGCGTCGGCCTGTGGACTGAAGGGTCCTGGGCCCTGGTTGGGGCTCGTGTAGGAGGCAACCAATTGATATGTTTCGCTCTCTCTTTACCTCTTTTCCATTCTCTCTGAAAACCAATGGAAAAATATCCTTGGTAGAGGGAAATAAAAGAAATGGGTTTGAAGGGACTAAACATTTCAGAAGTATGCATGTGTGGTGAATACTCTTCTTTTAGTGGAAAAGTAATTCTTTATGAATCTATTTTCAGCATAATACACAGCTGCGAGTTCTAGCACGTGGTGGGTGGCATAAAGACTATTACACATGCACTGAAACCTGAGGGTCTGCTGTGTCATGGAAAGCCCTAGAATTTTAGAGAGCACACAGGTGCAAAAAGAACACACGTGGGTAAAAATACAGGAGAGAAGTATTTGTTAACGCCACACATCACTTGGTGCCTCATTCATGTTTATGCAAATGGAATGCTCTAATTACTCCGTAAGAAAAGCAGATGAATGAGAATATGACAGCGTCATTTTCCTGTTGAGTTCAATATTGCAAAAACACGGCAGAAACTGTCGCAGTCACCGCCAACGCACTGGCTTACCCCCTCGGATTTCCTGTCTGGGTAAATGCAGGTCTCGCCGCCCGACGTGAAATTGCAGTAAACCTTGAAGGAATCTCCTGAGCAGCCTTGGTTAGGATCGATCCAGTATTCGCCTGGAGGCAGGGAACAATAGGTCATGGACAAAGGTCATGGGCAAACTCATGTAGGCCTGAAAGCAACTGCATTCTGTATCCAATTTCATTAGAAAGAGAAATGAGGTAACATAAATATCCACCCGTCTTTCCCACAGGGATTTCTCGTACGTGTTCGGTCGTCTTGGGGTCGATGTTCAAAGAGGTAAAAAGTGACCCTTTTGTCTGCCTCAGAGCTGTGCCCGTACCCCAGGTCCTCTGCCCGGACACCCGTTTTCCTTCCTAGCACGCCTCTTACTTTCAGGTCTCGGCTTCCATGCCGCCTCCTCAAATAATAACCTCTATTTCTCATGTGCAATGAATCGCCCGCACACGGAGGCAGATATACACTCCACCTTAAACCCCGCCGGCATTATTTACCACTGAAGGCAGCCGAGTAGAACAGTCAGGGTATATTTTCTTGGTTTTCTCGTTGGTAACAGTGGAGGCGGTGGGAGTATCTACTCGGCCTGAAGGATTACCCGTGAGCATTACTTTACAGCGAAAACTCCTTCTTGCAGTAACTGTCCTCCTCCTCTGCACGGGGCCCGCAGAGGAAGGTGGATTCTGTGCACTTAGAGGCCGCTTTCTATTGATGCCGTTAGCTAAGTGGCGCCGAGCACTGTATCCTGTGAGTGACCCAGACGGTGGGGTCAGGTGGGTGAAGACGGTAAATAGGGATGAGCAGTAGCTCTGGTTGTTGGTGGATGGATGGAACACACTTTTTCTCCAAGCTATCCTAACTCTTAAATACTCTGCCCATTGGATCAAATACGATTCAGTTACGCTATTTCATCATGTTGATTTCACTCATATTAATGTAAAGTATGTTAGGGAATAGGATATTAATTATCATATGGTAACTTGCACATGTGTGCACACATCAACCCCATTCTGTGACTATTACAAGGCAAAGTGTATCTCTGTTATCTATAATCTTCTGAAAATGATCTTGTCATAATTTAACGAACCCTTATTTAACAGACACGGGTTTTTCAAAGCAGATCTTGCATTCCGCAGCATAAATGACTTTTTCTGTTACAAGATGGGAATTAATAAATGGTTGGCTCTCGCTTTCTTTGGAGACTGTATTAACACTTAACGAGAATGAATGAGCTGACACCCGCCTCGGAGCTGGGAGGCGCTGTACTTGGGCTGGTCATGTGTCACCGACGTACCGTCAGGGAAGTCGGGGTGGCTGAGCTGCAGGTCTTTGCACGTGCGGGCGGGGTTGGTCTGCGTGCCCATTGGAAACTTCATGTGCTCAATGTCTTGTTTCAGGGAATTGAGGGAACCGAATATTTCCTCCATCCCGTCCGAGTAGTCGAGAGTAGCGTCCCCCCCGTCAGCCTGCATGCCCTCCGTGTGTCGTCTTGTCTTCTTGGGTGACAGGATGGGTAGAGGCTGGATGACTTCCCCAGGTGGACCCTGTGAGAGAGAGGACACACAGGCCTTGTTTCCTGCGGATCTTAGTTATTGCTGGTGACGGAGCATGCATTGGCGTGGACCTCCATCACATGCCTGTTCTCATTTATTAATTAGTCCTCATTTACATGCCTTATCCCCACAATTAGCTTTCAGTCCCTGAAGATAGAGCACCACTTTAAGGCTCTTGTGCTAAGGAGGTACCTACTGTGCTTGATGATACTTCAGTCTTATACAAATACACCTTAGCTTGTTTCAAACATTTATAAATGAACAAACTCAAAAGAACTGCCACCAGACTTGCATTTACACCAAATCATTGATCCATACCGTTATGGGTTGAACTGTGTCCCACAAGAACCCACATGTAGAAGTCTGGAGGGCCAGCACCTCGGGAGAGGACTTTTATTTGGAAATGGGGTTGCTGTGCATAGAATTAGTGAAGTAACAGAGCAGCAGGGTGGGTCCTAGACTGGCCTCCTTGGAGTCAGGGAAGATGGGGGCACAGAGACCGGCCTGGACAGAAGTCAGCGCGAAGAGGCGTCAGGAGAAGACAGCCACCCACGCGCCGGGCGGGAGGCCTCCCTCGGACCTGGCCCCACCGCCTCGGAAAGGACCTGTGGGCGCTCTGGTCGAGGGCTTGGGCCCCTGGGACTGCTGGACAGTAAGATCCTGTTGGGGAAGCGCACTGCTCCCCCTCCAGCTGGGAAGCAAGCCCCCCACAGGGCCTGAAGCCTGGACAGGCCAGCGTTCACCCGTGGGGGTGACTCATCGCTTTTCTTATCATTAGACGCAGCAGGAGGACAATGCCCATCTCAGCGCTGTTTGCCCTGAGTGTCAGATATGCACGTATCTGTGTGGCAGACCATCAGCTGCTTTCATGAAAACCTGACATCAAATAGATGAGTTTCTTAAGAAACTAGTAAGAACAGGACTCCCCGAATAGAGATATAATGAAAGCATCTCTATTCACACAGCGAAGCCAACGCCAGGACAAGCCTCGGCCTGCAGACTGAGAGCTTCCTGAACGTGGCTGCTCCCCCTCACATTTGGAGGTGTCGTCTCGGGACCCTAAGAGCCACGAGGCCACTCTCGCCTCCACGCACTCACCGGAGGCCCGGGGGGCCCTGGCAGACCACTGTCGCCCTTCTGGCCGGCAGGTCCCTGTGGAAAAGGAACAGGAACAAGATGAACAGAGACCAAGGCACGGGAGGCGGCCTCGCTGCCACGGGCCGAGGGCGCAGGTACTCACCGTGGAGCCTTTGTTCCCCTTGGGACCTTGAGGGCCCTGGAAAACGCAAGAGCAAATCACAGAGATGAGGAGGGTGTGTGTCTCTTTGGGGCATCTGTACGTTTACTTTAGAAAACTCTCTTTCCTGGTACTTACTGGTAAGCCTGGAGGACCAGGGGGCCCGATGGGACCAGCAGGGCCTGGAATCCCCTAGGAGAGAGGCAGCCGCGTTAGAGGGTTTTTCTCAGCCGTCACAGTGTCCTGTTTGCATGGCAGCCACAGCGCCACACGCAGAGGACGCAGAAATACGTGGGAAGAGCTTACGTTTCCCATTGTCTGTCTAAGAAGTCACTTTGCAAGATAGTCTATTTCGTGTTGCTTCAGTGTCTGCATACATATTCATGTTCCTGCAGCCTTCAGAATAATGATTTGCAAGTGTTGGGGATCAATACCTGTGAGTGCAATTAACTACTGAACTGTAATTTCTGTGCTTCGAACTTGTCATGCTTTTAATTTATTTATTCTAAGGTGAAATAAATTTCTTTTTGAAAACACTACTGACTCCAGGAGATTAGAATAAAGACGCTCTGAATCGCCCCCTCGGTCAAGTAGAAAGGCTGTGCACGCGCTGTGTGTGTGTATCGCTGGGATGGGCAGGAAAGCAATGTCCTTCCTCACCCCATCGCCCTTCGCTCCTGGGGATCCCTGGGTCCCGGGCAGCCCTCTGTCACCCTTCTCGCCTTGTTCCCCTGGAGGCCCGATCAGGCCAATCAAACCAGGATGCCCCTGTGGGAGGCAGAGAAAAGAAGTGTTAACACTACAGACATCACAGCCCGGCAGTCACTTATAGTCATAAAATAATTGCACATTGAACTTGTGAAACGAAACTTGAACTTTCTGAAAAGGCTGTGGGATGAAGACCCGCTCTGCCCACACCTCACACGATCATTTCCTGCACCTGTGGCAGGGCATACTTTCTAAAAGTAGCCTCTTCGGTGTTTCCTTTACTGACAGGGAATTCCCTCAACCGCAGGACCAACAATAACCAGATGTGAGATGCTGGTGAAGAGAGTCATTGTTTCAATAAGCATCTGATTTTATGCGAAATGACTAAGAGAGATAGGGGAACTTGAAAATAATCCAGAAATATTCATGCCATTCCGAAAAAGGCTTATTTTACAAAAGAATTATTTGGTGCAGCTCAGTATACATTTTGGGAGATCAAATTATTATTCTGATCTATAAGATAGTCTGTTCAAATTTTTACTTCCATGTTCAAAGCATAAAAGCGGGCCTTTTGCTATTCCCTACGTTTACTTCTGAATTCCTATTTTAGCATAACCTCACGCTCTCTCCGTACGTCCCTACAGGGGCACTGAGAAAAGGCGACACTGCATTCTGGTACCTTCTTCATGCGACTCTCTGTGTACTGCCTCTTGTCTAAATCCATCTGGAGAGCTAAGGACTGACTGCATTGTCCTCGGTTAGAACAGTAAAGACAGTCTTTGAAATCCCCCTTTCGGTGCTTTTAATCTGCAAACGTACTGTCTCTGCTACTAGAGTATGAAAACTGTAGGAGCACAGACTTATTCTCACCTTCTCGCCCTTGGAGCCAGGGTCCCCTTTGAGGCCAGGTAATCCGGGGGGTCCCTACATAATGAGAAATCACAGACACTCAGAGCGGGTGTGAATGAGGGAATCACCTTACTACCCCCAGAGCAAGTTCAGTTTGGGTAACTCTGCCAACTTAATCTTGACCAAGTTTAAAAAATAATAATGACCAGCATTTATTTTTCAGAATTCCAAACTATTGTGCACATTTAAAACTCCGTGGTTGACTATTTAACCATAACAATAAAATATATTAATGATCATTTTGATTAAATAAATATGAAGACAGAAATAATAGTTGTTTCAGTTGAGAAGGGTAAATTGTTAATTGCACTAATTTTAGAAGAAGGGGTTTCCAAATAACATCTATTCAATCAAATATTTTGACATTAAACTCAAATTCAAAGATTATGCTATTTCTAGTAAAATTTTAACCTCAATGTGGCATACACTCGGGAGAAAGGTCGCGGTGGGTGGGAAAGCGGGTAGGAGGCTGTTTGCTGGGCACGGGTAGTGTAGTGGCTACTCCTCTAGCCTGGAGCCAGTCACTCACTAGTTGGGTAAACTTGGCGTCTGTCACTTATTATCTCTGAGCTTTATGTAGAAAAGTGTTCTAATAATAACAACCGTGTCACAGGATTGTTGTCATGAAAGAAAAGCCAGTCCTACAAAAGCACTGCCTAAACTGGAGTACAATGTAACTATTAATTATTATTCCTTTTTGCTATGCCAATCGGCTTCCTCATCGCAGTCTAACAGAACCAGCGAAAGTGCCAAAAAACAAAAAAAAGAAGAAACCCTAGGAATTCTAATTGCTTGGGCTTCATGGGAACTATACCAGACATTTATTTGTGTTTCTAATGCATTTTAAATCGTTTCTATGAATATTATTCATGAAGGAGGTACAGGAAATTCTTCCTTAATACCTCTAAGCTAATAATCTCTATGAAATTACAATATCGAAGGAGGAATTTGCCAGGCAAAAACCAGTTTCGAGTCATTTCCATCCGCTGGAAATAGAAAGCGGGGAAGATCTGATATGAGCAGTAGTTATAACTAACCCTCTGAACCGGGGACACATCAGAATACTAACTCTGCATTTAAAGCTGTTATTCCAAGTGGACATAGTTCCTAGTTCCCCTTTAGGATACTGAAAATGGAAAAACCCTAGAGAAATACATAATTCATAAGTAACACAGTGAACGAGAAAACGGGGGGTACGTTCTTAAGTGTCTGGAACACACAGACATTCCCTGCAGGGCCGGGCTTTGATAAACATCACAAAACTCCACTGCCTTAACGTTGCCAGGCGCTGCGATATTGTGAAATAATATTTAATTTGGTCAAAAGCAAGCATTAGGTTGTTTGAACATGCTAATCACTATGGAACACTGCACACCTCGACCTGCTTACAGAGAGTTTAAATGTAGCATAAAAATAAAATCAAACTGCAGTTTAGTAACCAGGCTACCAATTACTCAGCCTTTGTGGTTTCAAAGAGAATGCTGTGGGTTCTTTTATTGATCAGCCTGTGGAGGGAGGGAACGTGAGGTAGGTCTAGGGCAGTGGTTCTCAACCTTCCTAACGCCGCGGCCCTTTAATACAGCTCCTCCTGCTGCGGTGACCCCCAATTTCATTGTGACAAACTGAACATAATTTAAACATAGTGATTAATCAAAAAACAATATGTAATTATATATATGTGTTCCGATGGTCTTAGGCGACCCCTGTGAAAGGGTCGTTTGACCCCCAAAGGGGGGGTCGCGACCCACAAGTTGAGAACCGCTGTTCTAAGGTAAACATGTCCAAAGATGAACACTGAGCAATGTTTCAGCGACACTGGAATGAATGAAACACAAATAAAAGCTTAGACCCAGAGCAGAGATGCTCACCTGCCTTCAAAAACTACAACAGTTCATTAAACAGCCTAACATCCAGAACAGAGGCTGTGACTGTTCTCATGTTACAATGAGGAACTTTCCTAAAGCCGCTCAGCCAGGCAGTGGGAGCGCTTGGTTTCGAAACCTGGGAGCTTGGCTCCAGGCTCAGTGACCTTCACCATGATCCGCTCCTCCTGGCTCAGATCAAAAGAGTTGCTCACAAAAGTCAATCTCCGTTAGCTGAGTCTGAAAGATCATTAAACGGCCATGACAGACACCCTAGAGATGACTTCTCCCGCTCTCACCTTCTGAGGACCAAGCAGCATCTTCATTAAAATTAGATATCACAGTCAAACGCGGTGAAAAAGCAACAATATGTCCTTAAAACGAGCAGCCGGAGACGGGTGGGCACCCAAGCTCTCAACCTGTCCCTTTCCCGGCCACACTGGGCCCGAATGGGAATGGGTTTGAGGAGGTCAGCCCCTCCCTCGCTCTGTAAACCACGTTTACCTAAGAGCCGCCTCGGGTGGCCTGTCTGGTTTATTTTTAATATAACCATTTAGCCGGAGGACGTCTCCCACATGATTGTTTTTTATTTCATCCAGGAAAAAGGTCAGAATACTTACTGGAAAAATCTGAAATAACAAGAAAAAAATCCCTGGCGAAGTTTAGGGTGACATTAAGGCAAAGTGCTTTCTTTCTCTAGGTCGGACTCTCCAGCCAGGAGCAGCCCGTATTCATGGAGAATGTTCCCCAAATAGTGCAGACAGCAGGGCGGTGGGGGGAGGCGGGGCAGGGCTGGCCCAGGGCCTGTGAGGTGGCGTGCTGACTTGATAATCTCCTGCTTGAAGTCACTCAAAACTTGGTAACTTTTATTCAGTCACTAAAATAACTGATCTTTAACTTCTCAGAGAAAGTTAAAAGACACTCATGTTAGAGGAAATTTTGGTGACATTTTTACTAAAAGGAATGACCCCAATAATTCCTGGAATAATTAAAATTGTGAGACCCAGTTTAATGGCTTTCTAAGTATGTAAATGTCTCTGAGATGATTAACATATTCGTGATCAGCAGCGTTTTGTAGAATTTAAGTTACTATATGGAAGTCCTTGCTTATTTAAAGTAGTGAGCGTCACTCACAGAGCCTTCAGGACTGAGCCAATGCTGCTCTTTTGAATGCAGGGCCCGGAAAGGCAGGCAACCGCACGCATGTGCGAAACTGTCCGCGTTTGGAAAACGACCTGGCCAGGCCATTGGTGGCATTTTATTCGGAGGGGAAACATTTTTTTCATCCAAGGACAGAACAAAGGAAAGATCTAATCAAGGGGCATATTTTCAAAAGAACCTATCAGTTAGATTTATTTTCCTCTTCTCCAGTGTAAGGCACTTCCTTGAATGTTGCACAAAATAGAGAGCAGGTTATAAGCTAGAATAACGGAAACTGTAGCTCATAAACGATTTCGTTTCTGGAATTCTCCCCTCCTAACAGGAAGGATGCTACTCACCAAGGGACCGGGAGGCCCGTCTTGGCCTGCAGCTCCGGGGAGACCTTGTTCTCCCTGTGAAAAATAAACAGGATTAATTTCTTAAATGAACAAACATATTTCTTTTATTTTGAGTCCCTCACATGGAGAACTCCTACAATTGTAAGCTCTTGAGTCTTCTCCCTTTGTGTGGCGTTTGTCTACAGGCACAGGCGTGTGCAAGCGCACACACACACACACACGCACGCACGCACGCTAGATATTAAAATATGACATCTTTGTGATCATAGGATTTCGTTTTCTACTCTGCCTTTCTGAGTTAGAATTTCACCATGAACTAATTAAATAAATGACATACTGAAATATTTAAGATTTTCATTATTACATATTTCCCGAATTCCCTTCAAACATCCACACTCTAATATATAAAATAGTGCTGACACGAACATTTTCATTTAGAATTGTGTTGTGTGTTTTTTGTTTGTTTTTTAAATAAAACATCACAGATGCTCACCACAGGCCCGGGGATGCCCCGCAGGCCCTCCGGACCGGGCTTCCCGGCGGGGCCCTGAGGCCCAACTGGGCCAGTCTTCCCGGCAGGTCCTTCGGCACCTGCTTCCCCCTGTGAGAAAATACAACACAGACACACGTGACCAGTGAGGAAACATGTCTTGTTATTTCATGGAAAGTGTTAAGTCTAAAAAAAGTGTCAATCTAGACGTTGGCCGTGTATGCAAAGCCGTGTAGGCATCAGCTTTGCATACGTAAGACCTACACCGCCGGCCTTACCTTGGCGCCCTTCTCCCCTTGCCGTCCCTCTGCACCTGCTGCTCCCGGAGGACCCTGCAAACATTACACAGTCAGACCTCCTCTGCACTTACAGGGCCACACAGTCAGGCCTCCTCTGCACTTACCGGGCCACACAGTCAGGCCTCCTCTGCACTTACCGGGCCACACAGTCAGGCCTCCTCTGCACTTACCGGGCCACACAGTCAGGCCTCCTCTGCACTTACCGGGCCACACAGTCAGGCCTCCTCTGCACTTACAGGGCCACCTGGGACAGAACAATCTCTGCATTCCTAAATCTGTGGCCAACTGATGTAGGGAAGAGTCATTGATGCTGCATAACCTCATATTCAGAGTATCAAAGAAAACGTTCTGAGCTAGAAATTAGACATTATAATCCCCATGAGATTTACATTTTGTTCCTAATAATTGTGCCGCATTATTCATGTCTTCACTTTCGGCATTTCCTAGAAACCTTTCAACTTGACACCAACAGGGCTCCGGCTTTGAGAGCCCGCCACAGTAACATCCACACGTAAGTATCCGTAATAACCTTATTCTAAGGCCTGTAAAACTGACAATTACTAAGGAATATTTATTTCATGTCCACTTGTTAATTGAATTTGTATTGTTACTTTAACAAGCATGCAATGCCAGGTGATGAATTTTCTGCACCAGTTCAGACACAAGTCCTGAAAGTTTAAATGAGTGATCTCAAGAAAATTGCATTCATTTTCCCCCCAGACTCTCTTGTTTACTTCAATTTTTGCGATGAGTTGTGCTCAGAGTCAGGGGCTGAGACTGAGGTTGGGGAAAGTAGTGGAGATGGCGCTTTTTACGGCAATCATGTTTATGTTAACCAGCTCCAGAAATTACTTTTCAGCAAAATGCATGGAACAAACTTGGTTTTCGAACAGCTGTGAGGCTAACTCGGGTCTTAGCATTTCACAGCTTATTGACAGCAGCTATACACTCTTCTAGTGCCTGAAGGAAATACACTTCTGTTCTCAAGTATTACCAATGCATGACGGGGTGTCCGTGTACTACAAATGACAACTTAATTCCCCTACTTGTTCAATAACTGTTAGAGTGTTGAATGTCAGTATCACCGCCACTTGCCACATTCTGATCAATATTCTATTAGGAAGGCTTCTGTGTGGGATTCACTCATGGAAAAAATGGTAATACGTGTGAATGCATGTCTTGCCATTGCTCCTTCGGCACTGGGGAGCCGGAGCTAATGGCTGTTGGTCTGTCTTTCCGGGTCTCCAGTGTGGGGAGACCAAAGAGAGGAGGAACGTTGCTGCCACAAAGCAGAGACAAAGCTTACTTAAGCTTTCATGTTCTGGTGACTGAAGGAGCGAGTGAGAGGAGGAAGGGAAAAGAGGCATTTGGTCAATGAAGAGAAACTGCATTCCAAGAAGATACTTACTACAAACCAAATTCATTTCTGTCAGAGCGAAATGCCTGTAAATATCAACTCACATTTATGTTGCTGGGAGGCCAAAGGAAAACCTACTACACTCTGTCTACGAAGATGGGTGTGTGAAAATGCCCCTAAAATTCAGCTACCAGGGGGAACAGCTCGGTCCCTTTGGATTTCTTAGGAAGACCGAGCCCAAGAAATACACTGAGTGGCCAGATTCTTATGGCCACCCCATCAGGACTTCGTTGGGCCACCTTTTGCCTTCAGTACTGCGGCAATTCTTCTTGGCACTGACTCCACGAGATGTTGAAAGGTGATGCGAGGGATCGGACACCATGCCTGAATAGCAGTGTCCAGTCTGTGAGATTTGATGGTTGTGGAACCAGCTGCCTGATGGCTCTTTCAACTTCGTCCCACAAATGCTATACGCCATCAACATGATAGGATGAACTTGATCAGCAACAATACTTATGTATGTTGTTCTATTCAGACGTTTATAATGATCTGGCCCTCTAGCAACTTCAGCGCGAAATTATAGCTAATTTGCCTACAAACGTCAGGTGGTCATAATAATCTGGCCACTCAGTGTATACTTGGTGTTTCCCACCTGTCCACGCACAGAGTATGTGGCAAAGAGACTAGAGGAGGAGCAGGCCTAAACACTGCGAGAGGCGGGTCCACAGAAGCTGTTACAAAACAGCACAGCAGTAAGGACAGGGAGGGAACTCTAGCACCTGCTGGAACCAACATCTCAGCAAGGGCTCTGTGTGTATCTCACTGTAGTCTTCTGTTAAAATCCTCCCTCCGCTTCCAAATCAGAGACGTTTGCCCATGGAAAGCGATC